TGCCTCTCCAGGGGCAGTAGCAAACCTGGCTAAAATTCCATCACTTAACAAGCTTCAAGGCTGTAAAGAAAACTTTTCTTTCTTTCTTTCTTTTTTACTCCTTCTCTTTCTCCTTTTTTCTTTTCCTTTTGTTTGTTGAGATAGAGTCTCATGTAGCCAGACTAGCCTTGAACTCTCAAACTTACTCTGTAGCTGAGTATGGAGTTGGAGTATGAGCTCCAACCCCTCATCCTCCCTTCTCTACCTCCAAAGTCTGGGTCTAAAGGCTTGTGACACCTCCTCCAGCTAGGTACCTGAAACCGGAGTTGTGGATGGTTGTGAGCCATATGAATGCTGGGAGCCCAGGTCCTCTTCAGGAACAAGTGTTCTTAAGAGCCGAGCCAACGCCCCAGCCCCAGGACGTTTGATGAGTTTGCGGTATTTTACTGTGTGTGACTAAGGACAATGCCCAGAGCTGAATGAAGGCTTCAGTCAGGGCTGGCTGCAGGAGGGAGGGGCCGAGTGCTTCCCTGCCGTCTGTATCAGCCTCTGACACTCTACTCCATAAACTAATGGCTAGGACAGGGCTCCAGCCTTGCCCCATCCCTGTCTTGCGAAGAGTTGCTTACCTTCTCTGCAGCTCATTTTATCATCTATAGAATAGGTAGAGTAGTTGGGTACAGCGTCACACGCCTTCAATCCCAGCACTTGGGAGGCAGAGGCAGGTGGATTTCTGAGTTCGAGGCCAGCCTGGTCTACAGAATGAGTTCCAGGACAGCCAGAGCTACACAGAGAAACCCTGTCTCAAAAAACAAACATGGAAAAAATAGAGTGATAGGTTACACCAACCACGGGGTAAATATGTGAGGACCAAAGGGGAGCTTCGCCAGGGAGGGCATGGCCAGGGCTACACCGTCAATCATGACCCCGTCATTTTCCCCTGGGCAAAGCATAAGATCAGCAGGATTTGAACATTCAAGTCAGGTCATTTGAACACTGGGTAGGGAGACAGAGGCCTGTTCACCTAAGGCAGATGGAGAATACCAAACTTGTGAGACAGGTGGAAAGGCAAACCTCCTGGAATCCGTTTATCTTCTCCTCCCATTCTTTTCCCTCCTCAGTCCATCTTCCTCCCTCCTCCCAATCTTCCAACCCCACCAGTACCCCCACCCCCACCCCTGCACCCTTAGGTCTCACTTCTTCCCCACTTCTTCTGAGACACAGTCTCATTTTGTAATCCAGGCTAGATTCACATTCATAATCTCCCTGGGTAAACCCTCCTGAGTGCAGAGATTACAAACATCTGGGGGTGGGGGTGGGGGTGGGGCTTAGTGGTTAAGGGCACTTGTGGTTGTCAGGCGGTGGTGGTGCACGCCTTTAATCTCAGCACTTGGGAGGCAGAGGCAGGAGGATTTCTGAGTTCGAGGCCAGCCTGGTCTACAGAGTGAGTTCCAGGACAGCCAGGACTACACAGAGAAACCCTGTCTCGAAAAACTAAAAAAATAAAAAATAAAAACAAAACAAAACAAAAAAAATCAAGGGCACTTGTGGTTTAAAAGATCCAGGTTTGATTTCCCAGATCCCACATGGAGGCTCACTACCTCCTCAGGCACCAGGCAGGCTTGTGACCCACTTCCAGGCAAAACACTCATACACATAAAATAATACAAATAAATCTTTTTTTAAAAAAGCATGTACCACTTAGCCTGTTTGCCCTTCAAAGCTCCCTCCCATCTGATCCCATCTGCAAGATTCACAGTAGGGATGAGAGTCACAGTGAGTCAGCCCCGCTCACCAGCCACAGCTGAGGTGCTCCGAGGCAGGCAGGCAGACTTCTTTTTGTTTATTTTGAGACAATGTCTCACTATGTATCTCTGGCTGCCCTGAAACTCACTACACACCAGGCTGGCCTCTCCCTCCCAAGTGCTGGGATTAAAGGTGTGCATCACCACACCGAGTGGCAGTCAAACTTCTAGAGAATGGAGGCACTGGTTTTCCTGAGTCTGCACAGGTGGGCTCCAGCCAGAGCTCCCAGCACAGGGGCTCCCCTCAGCAGTCTAGTGGAGTACCCGCCCCATGTGCCTCGGGACCTGGCAACTGGAGAGTGCAGTCCGTGGGCTTCACGTGCTTAAGCACGGGGTGAGGTGGGTGCTCCTCCCCTGAGGCACAGCACAAAAGGTGACCTTCTTTCCTGGCTCCAAAGCAGTTTAGCATTCCGATTCTGAACACCTCTCCCTACTATAGAGCAGAAATTCCAGCAACGCTGAGACTTGCATCATGGAGAGCAATGAAGCCAGTCACTGGCCGAGTCTCCTAGTCAGGAGCTCCCAAGGTCATCCAGATAGCCCCAGTAATATCTGAGGAGTGGCCGGACGCTCCTGCTCGCAGCCTCACGACCCCTGCATTCTTGGGTGAGGAAACACCCCTCAGTCCTCCCTGGTGGGTTTCAGATCCTGGCTGCGATCTACCAGCCCAGATCCGTGAGCTCTGATCCGAGTCACTTTCTCCACGGTGTCTCTGCAGAGGTACATAACTAGGGCCTTGTTCTATAATGATCTCACGTAGGCCTCACCCTCTGAAGCTGAGGGTATTCTTATCCTTGTCCGTTCTTTGACTAAGAAACAGGAGCTAGAGGACAGTGCTACCTTGCCTACCCCCCAGATGATGCCGGATCCATCTGTGGAAATAAAATGTTGTTCACCGGCAACATTTTTCCTGTCTGTTCATGACAGCCTCAGCGTCTACACGACTATTTGCATCTTGGTTTGTTTTGTTTTGGCTTTTTTTTGTTGTTGTTTTGTTTTGGGTTTTTTGGTTTAATTATTTGTTTTTTTAGGTTGTTTTTTTTTTTTTTT